ATATATATATATATATATATATATATATATATATATATATATATATATCGAGTTCTGAGTGCTGCTGTTTCTGCTGCTGCTGCTGTTGTTGCTGTTGCTAATATTGCTGCTATTGTTGCTGCTGCTAGCGTTGCCTTTGCCGTTATTGTTGCTGCCTTTGCTGTTGTTATTGCTGCTGCTGCTGTTGCTGCTGCATTCTCTTGGCTGATGTTCAACTTGCAGTCATGCTGCTACTGCTCTGTGTGGCGCAGCCCCTGCTGCTGCTGCTGTTGCAGCATCTGCTGCTGCAGTTTGTTGCTGCTGTTTGCTGCAGCAGCTGCGTAGCAGCAGGGCGCTGCCTAGCACTGCAGCAAAGCTTGCAAGGACACACATCAGGTGCAAATAAGCAGCAAATAATATTAATAATAATATTAATAATAATATTATTATTATGTTAAATAATAATATTGTTAATATTACTAACAAATGCTTGTGCCGAAGGACGTGGGGGCCCCTATGAACCCGGGGGGCCCCCCAGCAAACTGCTGCTGCTGCTGTTGCTGCTGCTGTTAGCAGCAGCAACAGATAAAAGAGATATCTGCAAGCGAGTAGAGAGTTTGTCTCACCTTTGATAAACAATTTGTCTGAGCAGGAGTGGAACAGCAGCAGCAACAGCTGCAGCAGCAGCAGCAGCAGCAGCAGCAAACGGACCTCATCGGGGTTAACAGCTGCAGCAGCAAACAGCCGCAGCAGCAGACAACTGCCTCTCTTTTTGCTTTTTCTATGCGTTATATATCTAAGCAAAGTAGCGCCTGAGGCTGCGAGGGGCCCCACACCCCCGGATCCTGCTGCTGTTCCCGCGTGTTAGCAGCAGCAGCAGCAGCAGCAGCAGCAGCAGCAGCAGCAGGTGAGCTGCTGCTCAGTGCTGCCTCAATCCTGCAGGGATAGGCAGGCTGCTGGTTCCCTGCTGCAGCAATGGAGGGAGATGAAGGCGTCGCAGCAGCAACAGCAGCAACAGCAACAGCGGCAGCAACAGCAGCAACAGCAGCAACAGCAGCAGCAACAGCAGCAACAGCATTTGCTGCTGCAGATGCTGCTGCAGCAGCAAATGAAGGGCCCATGAGGCCCTCCGCAGAAAACCTGCTGGCTTCTCTTGCTGCGAAATATCGCGTCCCCGTCGAGCTGCTGCAAGATCTGCAGCAGCAGATGCAGCAGCAGCAACCGCAGCAGCAGCAGCAACAGCAGCAGCAGCAGCAGCGCGAAGTATCCCCAGTTTCGGGTGTAAGTGTTGACTCCTGTTCAGACTCCACGGGTGCAGTGCCAGCAGCAGCAGCAGGGTCAGGATCAGCAGCAGGGTCAGCATCAGGATCAGCAGCAGCAGCAGCAGCAGCAGCAGCGCGCGGGGTAGGTCCTGTTGTTGCTGCTGCTTACACTCGGCTGTACGTACACCTGGTGTCATGGGTACTTGGCCTCTGGGACCCGCAAATGCAGCAGGAGCTGCTTGATGCTGCATTTGCTGTCTTCATGAAAATTTATCAGAGGACGCTGCTCATCAACCCCGCAGAAGGTCTGCTGCTGCTGCTGCTGCTGATGCTGCTGCTGCTGCTGATACTGCTGATACTCCTGATGCTGCTGTTTACGCTGCTCCTGCTGCTGATGCAACTGTTCACGCTGCTGCTGCTGATGGAGCTTGTGCTGCTGCTGCCGCTGCTGCTGCTGTTTGTGCTGCTGCTGCTGTTGGTGCGGCTTATGAATAGTCTGTACGTAGAAAGCTGCTGCTGCTGCTGCTGTGGTGGTGCTACTCCAGCTGCTGTTTCTTCTGCTGCTGCTGCACACAGTCTCTCTGGTGTTATTGTTGCTGGTGTTGCTGCTGCTGCATCTGCTAATCGGAGTTCATTTGCTGTTGCTTGTGCTGCTTGTGCTGCTGCTGCTGCAGCTCGCGAGTTGCTTCGAGTGTATGGACAGCAGCACGCGGGGCGACATGCTGCGTTGCTGCAGCAGCTGCAGCAGCTGCAGCCACAGCACCCGCAGCAGCTGCAGCAGGTGCCGTACTTTCAAGGGGAGGAGAAACCTGCGCTGTATTTATCGGAGTACGTCGATTAGCTGTCTCCTTTTGCTGCATTCAGTTAATCTTACTGTCCCCAGCAGCAGCAATAGCAGCAGCAGCAGCAGCAGCAACAGCAGCAACAGCAGTAGCACCATCCGCAGTATTAGCAACATCATCCGAAACAGCAGAAGCAGCAGCATCAGCATTTGCAGCAGCAGCAGCTCCAGCTTCGCAGGGGGCCCCACACCTCAGAGGCATTGATTACCCGCAGCAGCAGCAGCAGCATCAGCAGCAGCAGCAGCAAGCGTGCATGCGTTGGGTGTATGTGCAGGCGTTCTTTCTTAATGCTGCGGCGCTGGCTATCAGACACACGAAGCCTAGCGCTGGAGTCTTTGCTGCAGCAATCAGTGCGGCTGCTGCAGACACCGCAGGGGGCCCCACACCTCAGAGGCATTGATTACCCGCAGCAGCAGCAGCAGCAGCAGCAACAGCAGCAGCAGCAGCAGCGGCATGTCTTCTGGGGATTACCCAGACAACTGTACAGAGACGATGTACTCCTCACGCTGCCCAATGGAGAGAAAATGAAGGTGCTGCTGCTTTTTGCTGCTGCTGCTGCTGTTGCTGCTGCTGCTGTTGCTGCTGCTGCTGCTGCTGCTGTTGCTGCTGATTATTGTCGTTGTTTGGATTTCTTGCGTCTCTCTTTCTGTCTCCCTCTTCTTCATCTCTCGCTCTGTCTCTCTCTCTGTTTATATTTGCTTTCTTATTTGCTGCTGTCTGTTGCTATGCTGCTGCTGCTGCTGCTGCTGCTGCAGCGCGTGCGGGTAGTCGGCCAAGAGCCCTTGAAGGAGACAGAGTTAGTTGAGCCCCGCTGTCTCCTTCCGCTGCCTGAGGCCTCCACAGAAGCATTTCTGCTTCTCCGAAAGCAACTTAAAGCACATGCAGAAACCAGAGTATGCTGCTGCTGCTGCTGCTGCTGCTGATGCTGATGCTGCTGCTGCTGTTGCTGCTGCTTCTTCTGTTGCTGCTTCTTCTGCTGCTGCTGCTGCTGCTTTTTCCGTTGTTGTTGTTGTTGCTGCTGCTGCTGCTGGTCACGTAGTTGCTGCTCATGCCGCTGCTGCTGCAACTGCGGGTGCGGTTGCTGCTTCTGCTGCTTCTGCTGCTGCTGCTGCTGCTGCTTGTGTGCTGTTGGGGTGAGTATGGTTTTAGCGGCGTGTGGGTATTGACTACGTTCAGTATTTTTGCTGCTGCTGCTGCTTCTGCTGCTGCTGCTGCTGCTGCTGCTGCAGGCTCCGCTGAGTGCAAGCCAGCTGCCTTCTATTTGCTGCTACAGTTTTATGAATACAGAGACAGAGACCTGCAGCATTGCTTTAGGCCGACAGAGACCTCGCTTTGCTGCTCTGGGGGGTGTGGGGCAAATTATCCTTTGGGATCTAGCGCAAAAACCTGTGCGCTGCTGCTGCTGCTGCTGCTGCTGCTCGTGCTGCTGCTGCTGCTGTTGCTGCTGGTGGTGGTGTTGCTGCTGGTTTTGCTGCTGCTTCTGCTGGTGGTGGTACTGCTGCCGCTGCTGATTCTGCTGCTGCTGCTGGTAGTGGTCCTGCTGCTGCTGCTGTTGCTGTTGCTGCTGCGTGTGATTAATGAAGGTTTGCTGCAGCAGTTTGTTTTGCTGCAGCGGGAAGAAGCGAAGGCTTTGGAGGCGCTTCAGCATGGCAGCAGCAACAGCAGCAGCAGCGACATAGAGGAGCGTGCAGATTCTGCTGCTGCTGCAGGGCGTGAGGCTATGGAGGAGGACGGCAGTGTTTCGAAGTCTGAGCGTCGCAGCACGAGCAGCAGCAGCAGCAGCAGCAACAGCAGCAGCAGCAGCAGCACGTGCTGCTACAAGCTAGTGGGGCATGTGGGGAGAGTGCTTGCATTAACATTTGCTGAAGCTGAAGATCGCTGTCTCCTTACTGGAGGCAGCGACGCAATAATAAGGCTGTGGCCTACGCCTTACTCGCAGCAGCTGCAGCAGCTGCAGCAGCAGCAGCAGCAGCAGCAGCGGCAGCAGCAGCAGCGGGTAGATGGGGCTGCTTCAGACGCAGAAGCAGACGAGGACGAAATCGGCTGCACACAAATAAAGCAACTGCAGCAGCAGCAGCAGCAGCAGCTGCAGCTGCTGCCGCTGTGTCAATACAGAGGCGCAAGCCCACCTATATGGAGTCTCTCGGCCAGTCCCTTGGGGTAAGCATAGTCTTGCTGCTGCTGCTGCTGCTGCTGCTGCTGCTGCTGCTGCTGCTGCTGCTGCTGCTGATGGTGATGTTCCTGGAGCTGCGCATAGCATAGAAGCAGCAGCAGCAGCAACAACAACAGTTTCATCACCTGCTGCTTCATCCGCTGCTGCAGCGTTCTTCATTTGTACTGCTCTTGCGCTCCTCTTTCTTCAGCTCTGTGTGCTTCTTGCCTCTGCTGCTGCTGCTGCTGCTGCTACTGCTGCTGCTGCTGCTGCTGCAGGCATTATTTTGCTTCTGGAGGCGGAGACAACGTTGCACGTTTGTGGTGTACATCTCGCTCCTTCCCGCTGCGGCTGCTGCAGCACCCGGGGGGTGCTGCTGACGTTCCTCAGGTGTACATACACCCTAATTCTTCTTTGCTGCTGACTGGGGCTTCAGATGGTGTTGTGCGGCTCTTCGATTTGAGGGCTGCTGATCTTGTAAGGAGCTGGACACCACCGAGAGCAGCAGCAACAACTGCAGCAGCAGCAGCAGCTGCTGCTGCTGCTGCTGGGGCTGGGGCTGTGGGCGGGAAGGATGGTGCTGCTGTTGGAGCAGCAGCAGCAGCAAGGAGCTCCCTAGACACCCCGCTGCGCTGGCCCTTAGATCCGCGGCTACTATCTGGTGCTGGGAGGGTAGCACTAGGAAGCAGCAGCAGCAGCATGAGCAGCAGCAGCGGCTGCTGCAGCAGCAGAGAGGTAACGGCACTCACCGCATCTTCCAATGGA